TTGAAGACTTGTGGACTTCAACTCCCAGAATTCCTCAGCCAGCTTTGGGAATTGAAGTCCACAAGTCTTCAAGGGGCCAAGGTTGGAGACCCCTGTTCTAGAGAAGAGGATGGGAGTGGAGGTTTGAAGGTATCCAGGCAGGCTAGTTTAGAGAAAAGGAGGACTCGGGGGGACAGGAATAGCAGTCTTCCAGTATTTGAGGGGCTGCCCCAAAGAAGAGGGAGTCAACTTAGATAGCATGACAGGTAGTCCTTGACTTACAACCATTCATTTGATGGTGCAAAAATGAACTGTGGCCTGTCCTCACAATTATGACTGTCGTGGTAATTCCCCAGGGTCATGGGGAGGGCGGGGTCACCCTCTGGGACCTTCCCAGCTAGTTTCTGACAAGCCAAGTCGATGGAAGGAGCTGGATTTGCTTAACAGCTGTGGTACTGCTGTGATTCACTTAACAACGGTGGCAGAAAAGGTCGTGAAATCCTACGTGGCTCACTTAACCACCGCCTCGCTTAGAAATGGAAAATTCTGACTCCACCCCCACCCCCATTGCAGTCGTAAATCAAGGTCTATCTGTATGAGCGCTTTCCCATTGGCCCAAGAAGGCAACGGTAGGTGTGAATTAGCCAATGCGGCCAATCAGGGTTCGAAAGGAGTGTACGATACTTGGCAGCGAGTTCTATAATGGAGAGGTTTCCTTTTTGAGGTGTTCTTTCTCTCCAGCTCTGTGGCTTGGAGGCCCCAGATCACCCAGTTGACTAACCAAGTTTGATAATATCCCTGTATATCTGGATCCATCCTGAAAATTTGTCAATTGAATTGATCCATCTCTTTGGGCATTTGCACAATATATTAACTTTTAATTAACTGTCTTTTTCTTAGTGTTGTGGGACAGCCCCGATATATTTTGAAGTATCAATTTCTCTCTGTTTGGACAAACAGTGTTTGCTGCTAAAAAAATAAATAAAGTCAGTCAAGTCACAAGAAAGCCCCGAAAATACATGAAGGAAACCAGGCTGAGAAATATATATCTTGTTTACTGTCTTAACAAAATAAAAATGTTATTTGTTTATTTTTTTTAAAAAAAGAAGGATAATTGTGGTGTTTGAGATGAAACAGACTTGCTTCAAAACTGGAAAGACGGGAAAAAATAAAATTTGAAACCAATTGTTCATATTTTTTGTCTCTGCTTGTTTGTTTGGAAGGTCCATAATGAACTCTGAAGTAGAACATGGTTAGGGACCTCAGAGAGCTTCTAGCCACCCTCTGTTCAAGGCAGAAGACTTCAAAAAGATTGAGTTCTATAAATACATAAGTAGGTGAGCGTATAATTCTTGGAGTTTTTACTCTGCCGTGGTAGTTCGGTCAACCCACATTATTTGCCAACTGCTCTTTTCCCCTATATCTCAAAAGGGTTCCCATAGTAGCTTGCATGCAACCATGGCTTGGAGTCTCTTTTGGAAAGGCTTATGATATCAAAGAGAAATGGAAAGAAAAGGAAGAGAAGACGACCTCCAAACTCTCGCCTTTTTCATATCATGACCTCCCTGGAAACTTGGTTTGGGAAAGTGGTGGAGACCAAGTGGAGCTGTTCCTCCATTGCTCTGACTTGCTCCCTTGGTTGCTTTTCTGGAAAAGGACTTGCTCTGGTCCACATTAAAGTTCTACAGATCTTCAAAGTTCCTCAGCAGAGATCCAGACAATTCATGGGCAGAGAAAGGTGGTCGAAGGTTCCTTGGGGTACTTCTAGTGGTGGGATTCAAATAATTGAACAACCGGTTCTCTGACCTAATGATTTCTTCCAACAACCAGCTCACCAAACTTCTCAGATAGTTAACAACCAGTTCTCCCGAACTGGTGCGAACTGGCTGAATCCCACCACTTGGGTTCTTCCATGGCAATGTTTCTCAAGCTTTCGTCACTTGAAGACTTGTGGACTTCAACTCCCAGAATCCGTGGGAGATCTGGCTGGGGAATTCTGGGACTTGAAGTCCACAAGTCTTCAAATGACCAAAGCTTGAGAAACACTGCCCTCTATGGGATTGAGAGGTTCTTCAAGGAAGAACTTTCAAGAAAAGAAGCAACCTATAAATAAAGAGATCAGGGACGCGGTGGCTCAGTGGCTAAGACTTTGAGCTTGTTTGATCAGAAAGGCCGGCAGTTCGAATCCCGGCTTCTGCCAACCTAGCAGTTCAAAAGCACGTAAAAAAAATGCAAGTAGAAAAATAGGGACCCCTTTGGTGGGAAGGGAACAGAGTTCCATGCGCCTTCAGCGTTTAGTCCTGCCGGCCACGTGACCAGGAGACGTCTTTGGACAGCCCTGGCTCTTTGGCTTTGCAACAGAGATGAGCACCGCCCCCTAGAGCCGGAAACGACTAGCACATATGTGCGAGGGGAACCTTTACCTATAAATTAAGAGAAATTTGATGACAGTGAGAACTTTACAACAATGGAGCAGCTTTTTGTCCAGAGGTGGTGGATGCTCCAACACTGGAGGCTTTTAAGAAGAGATTGAATGGACAACCATTTGACCAGGGTTTCCTCTTGAGCAGAGTTGGACTAGAAGACCTAGTCATCTAGTCCAACCCCCCATGCAAGCAGGAGACCCTACATCATTTCTGACATATAACAGATTAACAGAGTTGGAAGGGATCTTGTAGGTCTTCTAGTCCACCCACCCAAGCAGGAGACCCTACACCATTCCAGATGGCAGTCCAATCTCTTCATGAAAGCCTCCAGTGATGAATCTCCCACAACTTCTGAAGGCAACTTCTGTCCTTTACAGATTAACAGAGTTGGAAGGGACCTTGTAGGTCATCTAGTCCAACCCCCCCACCCAAGCAGACCTGACACCATTTCTGACAGATGGGCAGTCCAGTCTCCTCTTGAAAGCCTCCAGGGATGAAGCTCCCACAACTTCTGAAGGCAACTTGATTGTTGATTGTTCTCCCTGTCAGGAAAATTCCTCCTTGTTTCCAGGTTGAATCTCTCCTTGAATCACTGCAGTTGTTAAGTGAATCACAAAGTCATTAAGTGAATCCAGCTCCCCATCCCCAATTGTCAGCTTGTCAGAAACTGGTGGGGAAACTTCCAAACATCTTATATTGTGACCTCGAGATGCCCTTTCTTTGGGGTGCCGTTGTTACTTTGAATGGTTGCTAAATGAGCCACTATAAGTCAAGGACGGCAAGGCAGAGAGAGAGAGGGAGGGAGGGAGAGGAAGAGAGAGAGAGATGGGACTAAGGAGAAGAGCTGTGAGCAGAATCACTTCGTTCCTGGGTCTCCTTGGCATTCAGTGGTGTGGAGAATGCCCCACTCCACCCGGGGGGGGTGTGTCCCTGGGGCCTTGTTCCCCTCCCCCCTCGGAGAGAAATTTCAACAGACAATTAATTCTCTTTTATTTGGACCAGGGAACTGGCAGGGAGGAGAAAGCAGCAGGATAGTTTCTCTTCCTGGTACGAAGGGAAACAAAAGCCGGTTTTGAAAAGGCAGCCCATGTTGCAAAGGCCGATGCACAAAGGCTTTCATTCTCCTGCCCAGGGAAAAGTATTTATGCCGCTTGGGCTGGGCGCCCTTGGATTCTGTCACCAAATGGGTTCTGGGGTGGAAAACCACTGCAGGAATGGGTCAGGGGCACACCACCTTTGATAGAACAGAATAAGAAAGAGTTGGAAGGGACCTTGGAGGTCTTCTTGTCCAACCCCCTGCTTAGGCAGGAAACCTTACCTACACCACGTTCAGACAAATGACATTTCCGTTTTTTTCTTCAGCCTGCCCTGAAGGTCCTGGAAGGAAGGGAAGGGAAGGGAAGGGAGGAAGGAAGGAAGGAAGGAAGGAAGGGAGGGAGGAAGGGAAGGAGGAAGGAAGGAAGGAAGGAAGGAAGGAAGGAAGGAAGGGAGGGAGGGAAGAGAGGAGAGGGAAGGAAGGAAGGGAAGAGGCAGGAGAAAAAGAAGGCAGGAATGAAGAAAAGAGAAGACAGGCAGGCAATATTGGAAGGGAAGAATGAATAACAGAATGACACAGTTGGAAGGTACCTTGGACCAGGGGTAGGGTTCTACCGGTTCAGCCCGGTTCTATAGAACCGGTTGTTATGATTCTGCGCAGTTTGGGAGAACCGGCAAACCGTGCCCCTGGCTGGCCCCACCCCTCTCCATCTGGCCCTCCCCGCCCCGCCCAGTCCGTCCTTATTGCGCATGCGCGCCATCGCACACATGCCCAACATCACTGACTGCATACTTCCCCACCCGGTCACTCCCTCAGGTATATCGTTTTTCCCCGCTCCCAACGTTCAGCTGTTCCTATGATCAGCTGTG